GAAGTGTTCAACAGTGGGATGTCAATGCTTATTTAGATTTGCCTACTGCTATTTATATAAAATGTTATTCCATTCAGAGGATGCCTTTTATCCCCTCATTAAAGCACAGAGCACTAAGCAATAAAAACCAAGTTGTCTGTCATTCAAATTACAACTGCAGTTATTTTCGCATGGTAAGAGTGAGGTGCTAATTTTGTGTGAGATGAACTTTATATAAACTACATTGGAAGATGTTCTTTGGAAGTAAGTTTTTTTCCCCCTTTACTCTTAGGCTTCCAGTTTTGTCTCAGATTCACAATCCATTAAAACATGGGGAAAAAAGAAAAGGTAAATACACTGAGAAACTTTTATTAGAAGAGCTGTTTGGAATGAACCAACGTTTCAGATTTTCCAAAATGGAAGTTGAGAAAAGTCTCCATTGTCTCTGGATTAACAAAATACACTGTTACTATCTTAATCTCAAGAGTGTCATTACAGTGGGAATCTCATTAAAAAGCATACCAGTGAAATTAATAGCAGTGCTTATCAAAACACTGAAATCTGTGAGAATCTTTCTAGGAGCATTCTTTTTTTCTTTTAGTTCTAAGTTCCAGGGTATTTTTCATTCCTACTAGATTTATATGACTCACCAGAATGTGGACTTTTTTCCCATTTGGAGTATTTTTGTAATGTAAGTATCAGATAGCCGTACCACAGCATGCATAAATTGCACATTTTGTTTTACTTTCTTTATAAAATATTTAATTTCAAAAATATAATTTATGCCAAAAAACAGCATACCTTTCAATTTTGCTACTTGGTTGATTTAGCACAAAATGCAAAGTCTTGTGGCATAGAGGGGGAGTGAAAAAAATTTTACAGGTAATTGTTAGAAAAATGCCTGTCAGAAACCCTAAAGCTGCATTGTAAAACAAATGGTGTAAATTAGTTTTGAAAAGTGGTAAGGAATTATGAAAAAAATCTCAGACTTAATGCTCTCTAACCACGTGATCTTTTTTATTTGGTAATACGCTGCTACATATTTGGAGGTTCTGATGTTTGTAGGTCACTGAACAGACATTGAAATCTGATTTATATTGTATAACTGTAACATAGAAAAAGTATTTATATTTTTTCTGTAAGAATATTTCATTGAGTTGTGTATAATTTAAATAAGATTTGTCCCCAAATGGTTTTGCTCACCTTGATTTTTTTTGTTGTGATTTTGTTTTTGTATAATGTGTACAGTTTATTTCAATGGCATTAAAAGCCTCCTGAAGCATAATCTTATCAAAGGGATACATTGTTAATAAAATGTACTTAAAATTCTTAAACTCTTTGCCATTGTTTTATTTGAAATCTTAAAACAGTCAGCAGTCATATGGCCTTGATTTGAGTCCTGTAATGCTGATGCTAACATATGTAACTCCAAGCAAAAGTGACTTTTAGGTCCCACAGACATATAGAGTGGCTGTGACAAATATTTTAAAGCAATTCTCCTCTTAAACACTTGGTAATTTAATCAAACATCTTTGCAGTTTTTAAAACTATAAAGACATGGGATTTGGAAAATGGGTCATCATCTTTAGATAGAATGGCTCTGAATTTTTTGAGGAAATAATGTACAATATTATAAATGATGATGATATGACAGTGGTGACCTCTGTGGAAGGTATTTATTTCTCATGCATGAATTGCCCTGATTGGATAAGGTTACCTACAACCACTGACTGGCAAACGACAATACCACCGAAATGACCAATTCTGGAGAATAAAGTTGAGTGTCAAAGTGTAGGATCTGTTAATAAAATATGGTAAAATGCAGGTTTCACTTCAAGAAACATTTTGTTTCGGATAGTTTGGCAAATTTCTGTGTATCATTTTTCCCAATGTCTTCCACTGTATATGTCATTGAAAACTTAGCTGGCCCCAAAATAAACTAAAAAGCATACTTAAAAATCATCATGCAGCTGATCTTTTGAAAAAAAGTCCTAATATGCCAAACTTGGAAAAGATTGTTTCATTTTTAAAACTCTTTAGCATATAAAATATCCAAAAATATGTACTACTTCAAAATTGATTTAAAAAAACTAAAATATGCTAAAACTTTCCTTAATGCTTAGAGGAATAAAACAACTATGCTTTCAGATTGAATATACCTATTGTGTTGTAAACATTTTAACTGACAGCTATGAAAACTTTGTCTTCTATTGTTTCTCTTGCAGTGTTTTAAAAGTTCTACTTTATGCAGAGTGCTTTAACATGTTTTGTAAATTCTTTGAGATGAAAGCATATCTTTCAACAGAACTCTTAGGAGTGTTACCAAGATATTAAGCCTTGACAATCTTAGGAGTCAAGTAGGCAACAAGGTTGACCCTACTTAGTATGAATTAATTAGGTGTTTGAATGTACGAAGCGTTCAGCAGGTGTATGACTGTTCTGTGAAGAGGTCCCAACTCCCATCCTGAATCATAGAGGTCTCCTGCACACAGGTGAGAACCGTGCACAGGCTGATGTAGGATTTAAAGGCCATTACTTCTAGTCCTGTCCACCCAAATATCCTGATGTTTTTAAGGAATTGTGATTTTATATGCAATTTTTTAACAGTATTATGACTATATTAGAAAAAGTAGAGCTTATTTAGAGAAGCTCATATTTACATGAAGTCATCATTTGCTTCAAAATAAGGAGGAAGAGCGCACAGGAGTATGGATGGAGCTGAAACAGTCATGGGTAGTGACCGTTGGGGCTGGAGATGATACACAGAGGTTTATTAAACTATTCTACTTTTGTGTGTATTTGAAATTTTCCATTTTTCTGACACATGAAAATTTCAAAGTTTCCAAATAACACTTCTTAAAGCCATATTAAGATGGCATATAGGCCAGGCGTGGTGGCTCACGCCTGTAATCCCAGCACTTTGGAAGGCCGAGGCGGGTGGATCACTTGAGGTCAGGAGTTCGAGATCAGCCTGACCAACATAATGAAATCCTGTCTCGGAAAAAAAAAAAAAAAAAAATAGGTGGCATATAGAATTGAAAACTAAGGTTCTGAACATGAACTAATTTGGTTATGACCATTGGAGAGGAAATGTTTACAGCCAAGACTATAGGTCATAGTGATATTATGAAGACAAAAGTTACATAACCCAGCATTTCCTATTGGCATGTTGTTCTATTTCAGAAAGACTTCATTTAGGCCAGTGATTCTCAAGTTTAGTGTGTATCCGAATGCCTAGGAACTGATGAAAAATAGACTCCAAGTCATACCCCAAAGATTCTGATTAAGAGGTTTGTAGTCATATCCAGGAATTTACATTTTTATTTAGTAAGTTCATGAGGTGATGTATCGTCTAAACTGAGTAGTTACTAGATTTTCATTTCATTGAGGGAGATAAAACAGTGTGATGATGAAATATTTTAAGGTTTATTGCAATAGCAAAAATGACTTCAAAGTTTTGTGTGAATTATTTTTTAAAACTATATGAAAAATATGTACAAATCAGTCATCAATGTCATTGACATTTTTGTGAACAAGTTTCAAATGAAAAATACCCCATTATGACAAAGGTACATAAATAAATGCTGACAATACTGGCCCTAAAGTCTAACACAACTGTTAAGACTAATTAGGATACCACTTTGTACTATGTGGGGAGCAATGTTTCCAGCAAAAGGCTTAGTTACCTGTAAGGAAAAAGTAGAAAAGCTCAAACAGAAGTACTGGCTTGTGTAGGTTTATTTAGGCCAGTTGACAGCCACGTTATTTTGAGGTGTGGCTACTTGTTTCTCTTCATAGCGCTAAATGGCACAGAGCAAGGCAGTGGGCACTAGAGGCACGAGCATTGGCAGAGCCAATGAAATGTCAGGCAGGAAATGTGACAGCCGGGTGTGATGGCTCACACTTGTAATCCCAGCACTTTGGGAGGCCAAGGTGGGCAGGTCACCTGAGGTCAGGGGTTCGAGACCAGCCTAAAATGGTGAAACCCCGTCTCCTCTACTAAAGATACAAAATTAGCCAGGTATGGTGATGCATGCCTGTAATCCCAGCTACTCAGGAGGCTGAGGCAGGAGAATTGCTTGAACCTGGGAGGTTGAGGTTGCAGTGAGCCGAGGTGACACCATTGCACTCCAACCTGGGCAACAAGAGTGAAACTCTGTCTCAAAAAATTAAAAAAAACAGTGACAAATAGGCTGGGTGTGGTGGCTCATGACTATAATCTCAGCACTTGAGGAAACTGAGGCAGGCAGATCACTTGAGGTCAGGTGTTCGAGACCAGCCTGGCCAACATGGTGAAACCCAATCTCTACTAAAAATACAAAAACTAGCTAGGTGTGGTGGTGTGCATCTGGAGCCCTAGGTACTCCGGAGGCTGGGGCAGGAGAATTGCTTGTACCCAGGAGGGAGAAGCTGCAGTGAGCTGAGATTGCACCATAAGAACCAACATGTACTAAACACTAGTTGTGTACCAAGTGCTTTGCATATATTGGTTCAGAGGAGACCAAGTTGCTCCAGAGCCAACACAGAATTTCCCACTCCATAGAACTTTTTAGTTATATCTAAATTATGTCCAACAACAAGGTTTCACTTATTATTTTAGCATGATACGAATATAAATGTGACAGTTATCTTGACCCAGGCAACCTACTACAGAGTCTAAAGGATGCTAAGTGAAAACATGTCATGTATATACAGTTCTTGAAAGAAAAGAGGAGCCAAAAACTGAATGGAATTATGTGATATATTTTCCTTTTTATGTTCTGAGGTAGTCATCAAAAATTATGGCAGAATACTGATGTCTATGGAGCAGAGGTGTAACCGACAGTAAGTAGTTCCTTGCCAATCCCATTCTTTCACTGTAATAAGCTTGACAGAATTGTAGAAATCTTGTTGATTCATCACACATTTTACATATTAGATTAGATCTACGCCCCAATTTTACTGTGTCAATGAACCTTAGATTCTTATCCCTTCGAGGAAGCCTCAAATCTGTTTTGGCCTCAAACATCTGTGAGTTTTTCATTAAACACACTCAGTAAATTTACATTGACAATTTATGCTGTAGTAATAAGTCTCCTGTGGCTTTTATTGAAGCCTTCAATCTTCAATAAAATAATAATAATTGTTTCTAACAGAAATATTTCTTCAGTAACCTTACAGGACCATAGCCATCCTGTACAGTACTGAGTGGGGGTCTGTGGAGTGGTTAATGCATTTCCGTATGTCAAGCTCAAGTCTCTCGTTCTAAAGGTGAGCCTGGAACAAACAGCAGCAAGGTAAGCATGCTCCCATGATCCTGCCATTTCTAGGGCAAGCCTCCTCCAACAGGGAGTGTTACATTCCATAGCTTCTGGCCATTAACCTAGCCAGACTGTAGTGCTCTTATATAAACCAGACTGCAAATTGTAATGGGATTAAGGACCAAGGCCACCGGTGATGAGAGGGTGGCAACTCTGCTCCTCTTAATGTCTGTGTAGCATAAAGTATGCAATTGGCATGCTGGTTAACGGTAGTGTTCACCTGGATTTAAAAGGGTAATCGAGGAGAGGCTGGTATTCTCGGTCGGGGGAGGCGAGGCAAGACACAGGGGTACTGCCATTTGCCTTTTATACTCTGAACAGTGTGGTGGCTCTACTGGATTTGTTGGGAGACTGTCCTTGTCTCCAGACGTGGGTAAAGCCAACTGGGACACATAATTCAAACTTGTTTCTCCAGCTGAGATTTCTCCCAGGGAGTTCATGTAGTTTTTTTCTAGTGACTTTTGTACATTTTCAGGTGAGATCATTAGTCCCAGCTGACTTGGGGGGAGTTTCAGGGGTACTGGAACGTGGCCACAAAAGCCAGAGTCAGAAGCTGCCTGGTTATAGGTCAAGTTCTCAAAACAGATGAAGGGGCCAGGGCCAGAGTAATTCTTTTCTGTTGGAAGGAGGTAAAGGTAGTTAGGCTTAGTCAACTCGGTTTCTGTGAGTGACTTCCTAAACTGTATCTTTGTCCCTTCTGGCTTGCTTACAACTTCAATAGCATCTGGAATACAGTCACTGACATTCATTATTGTTAGGTGAGGTTTCTCCTAAAAAGGAAAAAAAAGATGTAAATATAAACATTTGTGTGTGTGCATGCATAAAAGTATATTAAGCATGTGGAATACACTTAGAGCTTCAGTGTTGTTTATGTTTCTTCCGGGTCACAAATAACCTGGAGGTGATGTTGAAAACCAAAACCTTTCCCCTGACAGAAGAAATCAAAGCTCCAATCACCGATTTCATAGCTGTGGGTGCAGAGGTGGCTTTTACTGTGCTATATTTTCCTGAGAAGCTCTAGGAAAATAGGATTCTGACAGCTCCCACTCTGGGTTCATCCTTAATAGGTATATGGCATACATATAATTTGCCAACATTTACCTTGAATTTTATTAATGACAAGATGCTGCTCTTGTAAGGGTCAGGGATGTCAGGGTAACACGTCTCCTTAATCCTAGAAAAAAAAATGAGACTGAATTTCACAATATAGTGGAATAGTCAGGAGCAAGAACTCTGGAGTCAGATTCCTACTGGCTTTTAATCCTTGCTTTGTAACTTATTAAGCAAGATACTTAATTCTTCCATGCTTTAATTTCTTATCTGCTAAATGGAGATAATTATGGTACTTAGAATGTCCTCATGAGGATTAAATGAATTAATTGATAAAGCACTTAGAACACTGCCAAACATATAGTAAGTGAGATATAAATATTAGCTATTGCTGTTGAAAAAATTCTGTGGAAACTTTCCTCATATAGTGGCCTGGAAATCAAAATTGTGAAATAAATTACATATTCTCATCCCAGCCTCCTTTGTCCTTTTCCTTTTTTGTACATTGTTTCATATCATTCATTGTCATTTCTATCTTACTAAGTCTGTCTCCAGATTTTTCTCTGACTCTCCTCTTGGATGAAACCTTCCTCACATACTTACCACTGACTTTTCAAGTAGCACACAATCATGATGAGCAAGAAGCAGAAAAACATGGGCAGTAGGATATAAATCAGCATCGAGGCTGAACAAGGAAAAAGAAAGGGACATTTTTAATCAGTACTTTTCCTTCCCTCAAAGGAATAAAAATAAATTTATGATTGAGAGTAATTTTACGTTTATTACTTCTCAAATTATTTATTCAAGTTGCAGTATAACTTGAGTTCTGCCTAACTTCAAGGGAAAAGCTAACCAACCAACTAGCCACTAGCCAACCACACAGGAAGCCATTTGCCATCAACATTGTGTGACTCAAATTTGTTACCTCTTCTGATAGATTGGATCATGACTTGCTGTATTAAAATTATACTTTTCCACTCCTGCCAAAACTTCATGGTAGGTGGAGAATATTTTCCTGTCCCTTGACTTGGGGCTCAGTCATGTGCCTTGCCTTGGCCAATGGGCTTTGGTAATTGTAAGTAAGTGCTTTAAATGTACATGCATACATTGGCTTGCCCTCTTGTGCTCCTGTAATCCACCATGAGAAGTGTGTGCCCCAGACAGCTGCTGCACCTTCGGCCTTATCCCTAGAATGAAACTATGTGAAACAAACCTGAACCTGACTGAACTTGGAGTCCAGCTTAGCCCAGCCTAGATCAGCCAAGTCTCAGCTGACCTGTAAATCCATGAGTACAAAAAGAAGTATTTGTTCTTGTATGCTACTGAGCTTTTGAGGGTGTTTGTTACACATCAAAAATTGACTAGTAGACTCCATCTACTTAGCCTCAGATTACCTTAATATGTCTTAATCTGGGATAATGATTATGTTTATTTCTCAACTGCTGGTTCATTTATTTCAAATGCCCATTGTGAAAGTTGTTAGACTCAAAATAGAATCACTAATGGTAGGAAACCCTGACAAAAAGAGCTGGGAAGGCTATGCAGATAACAACACTACAAAAACCACAACCTTGCACAAAGGTCATTGCAACCTTACACACACGCACACACACACACACGCACACACACATAAAATGCTTCTGCAAGGACATCTTCCCATCCGACCTTGAACTGGCATCACCTTGTTATTAATCTTTATAGTCAAGAATAATTATTATCGCTTCTCGGCCTTTTGGCTAAGATCAAGTGAAGAATAATTATTTCAAAGCAATTATATAATCCTCCTTTTTTTTCTTTAAAAACCTTTGTCTTCCTTTACCTCCCTGAATATGCACAGTTTACTATAGTTTGTTTATTTCCTTTGCAATCCTTAGTCCTAAATAAACATGTTTTCTTTTACAGAGTGTCTCTCTGATATTAGATTAACACCATCTTCCTGTTCCCATTGCTTGCAATTTCCACTAAATAATAATCCAGCTGTGTTGGTAAACACTCCCTTTCACAAATATAAATTGCTCGGGGAGTGTCTCCGGGGTTAAGAGTTATTCACATGTACATATGATTCTGTTCAATCCATTTGCCTCCCCTGCCCTCTCCATGCTCCACCCCACACCTGGCTGTCCTGGAAGAAATGCGGCTTGATTTGGGAACAGTAGTGTGGTGAGTAATGTTGGAATTTTGTAAAGAAAGGTGGCCCTGGGTAGATGCACACGCCCGTGCTATAAGGCAACACAGGGGTGTAGGGAAAAGGACCCAGAAAGGTAAGAGAGGGCCAAAGCAAGCACCTCAACAACTGGCGTAAAACTGACCCTGGCCCTGGAAGGGGAAAGAAACTCTCTTTCTGAATCTCACTGTGGACAACCTTGCTCTCAAGGACAGTACTTTTGATCATGTAAACCAAAAAGTGTCTGAGACAGGTCTCCATCAATTTAGAAGTTTATTTTGCCAAAGTGAAGGATGTGACTGGAAGAAATAAAGAAAATCACAGAAACATTACGTGGTCTGTGCCTTTCTCCAACTATAATTTTGGGGGCTTCAATATTTAAAGGGGAAAAGTGGACCGAAGGAGAAAGAGGAGGGGAATAGTTATCTACAAGTTTCAAGAGAAAAGGAACAGGCAGAAGAACAGTCAATTATGTATTCATCTTTCTGGAGAGGCTAAGATAAGATAAGGTACACATAGAGTAAGTACCTGGGGAGATATTTAACCTTTTAGTGTACCTGTCTGCTTAGAAACAAAAGGAAAGGTAGCTTCTTGCATGAATCAGCTTTCAGCTTATTTTTTTCCTTTGCATAGTGAATTTTATTTTCCTTTCACAATCATTGCAATTGGTTTTAAAATTTGGTTAAGTTATGGATTTTTAATGTATTTGAAGGCAAGCTCGAGGACCCAACCATATTTCCAGATTTCAGACTGGTTTGCTAAGCTTTTTATTGACGTATAATATATACATGAAGAAAAACGCTGATAAGTGTATACAGCTCAATGAATTTTCACAAATTGATCACACCCATGTGACCAGTACCCAGATCCAGACAACAACATTACTGGCACCCTGGCAAGGTCCTCTTGTATCCCCATCCAGTTGTAATTCCCTCCGAAGGCAGCCACTAGCCTATCCTTTCACAGCACAGAGCATTTGCCTTTTTCTGTACTTTACAGATGGAATCATAGGGCAAGAGTCATGTCTGGCTTTTTCCACTCAGCCTTACATTTGTGAGATTCAGTCATATTATTTCTGTAAACGCAAAGTGTTCATTCTCATTGCTGCATGATATTCCATTGTGTAAATATACCACAATTATTTATCCTTCCTATTTGAGGGGCAACTGGTATTTCCAGTGTGCAGCTCTCATGAGTTGTGCTGTCATGAACATTCTAGTATATGTCTTCGGGTATTTCTTTAGTGTTTATTTAGGCATTTTGGGGGCATATATACCTAGGAGTGAAGGTTCTCACATCTAGGGTATATATATGCTCATTTTAGAAGATACTATCAAAGAATTTTCCAAAATTGCTTGTACCAATTTACTTCCACCAGCAAGGTATGGGAGTTCCAGTTTTTCTACATCCTCATCCTTGGTATTTTTCATGTCAGCTATTTTCAGCTAATTTTAAACACAAACTTTGGAAACATAATCTACTTCCATATTTGGGATTGAAAAAATGATTCAGTAATGCCTATTAAATTCACAAGGAAATGTAGTGCCAAATGTCCAAATATAAAAACACAAATTACAGTTGGTTTAGATACCCGACACATTTAAACAAATTGCTTACCCTCTCTGTGACTCATTATCTCTATTTAATAACCTAGTCGTCTAATCAGAGAAAAAGTTAACAAACCAATTTACAATGAGAAAGGATTATTTTGAAAAGTACCAACAGAATAAGCATTTATTCACTACTTTGCAATTTAAATATTACATTAATTTTTTGCATTTCTGTTTTTTTTGCTTTTACTGTTTAATCATTCCATCCTCATTGTAGTGGATACCTTACTCCCATCCAGAAAGATCTGAGGTACAGTTAACTGGATGCTAAACACATAATATTCTACCTATTTTTTTGTAAAAAGTAAAATTTCACCGGGCGCGGTGGCTCAAGCCTGTAATCCCAGCACTTTGGGAGGCCGAGGTGGGTGGATCACGAGGTCAAGAGATCGAGACCATTCTGGTCAACGTGGTAAAACCCCGTCTCTACTAAAAATACAAAACATTAGCTGGGCATGGTGGCGTGTGCCTGTAATCCCAGTTACTCAGGAGGTTGAGGCAGGAGAATTGCCTGAACCCAGGAGGTGGAGGTTGTGGTGAGCCAAGATCGCCCCATTGCACTCCAGCCTGGGTAACAAGAGTGAAACTCCGTCTCAAAAAAAAAAAAAAAAAAGTAAAATTTCTGTCAGGAAAGTTGCAAATATTTCGAATACTAATATAATCGTCACAAGCCAAGGCTAATGAGGTTAACATACGGGAGATGACTGAAACTTAGAAAATGTATACTTAAAGATAAGTGTGTGTGTGTGTGCGTGTGTGTTGTATGTGTGTATATACCAACCAAGTAAATTCCAAAGCTAGAAAAAAACTAACCTGAAAATAAATTTAAAATTAACTCCAAAATGACAAGAGTGCTCAAATAATGTAAATCATTGACACATCTTAATCTGATAAGGGGTTCTGGATTTTGGCTTGGAGACCTAGGGACATGTTTCAGTGTAGTAGTCAACATACAGTCAGCGCCACAACCTGCCTGGTATGGTTTGGCTGTGTCCCCACCCAAATTTCATCATGAACTGTAGCTCCCATAATCCCTACATGTCATGGGAGGGGCCTGGTGGGAAGTAATTGAACACATGCTGCTGTTCTTCTGGTAATGAGTTCTCACAAAATCTGATGGTTTTATAAGGGGCTTTTCCCCCTTTGCTTGGCACTTATCTCTCCTGTTGCCATGTGAAGAAGGACATGTTTGCTTACCCTTCTGCCATGATTATAAGTTTCCTGAGGCCTCCTCAGCCATGCAAAACTGTGAGTCAATTAAACCTCTTTCCTTTATAAATTACCCAGTCTCAGGCAGTTCTTTATAGTAGTGGAGAATGGACTAACACAGTAAATTGGTACCAAGGGAGTGGGGCACTGCTTATAGGGATACCTGAAAATGTGAAAGTGACTTTGGAACTGGGCCTCAGGCAGAAGCTGAACAGTTTGAAGGGCTCAGAAGAAGAGAGGAAAATGTGGGAAATTTGGAACTTCCTAGAGACTTGTTGAATAGCTTTGACCAAAATGCTGATAGTGATATGGACAGTGAAGTCCAGGCTGAGGTGGTCTCAGATAGAGATGAGGAACTTGTTGGGAACTGGAGCAAAGATGACTCCTGTTATGCTTTAGCAAAGAGACCTGTGGTGTTTTGCCCCTACCTAGAGATCTGTGGAACTTTGAACTTGAGACAGATGATTTAGGGCATCTGGCAGAAGAAATTTCTGAGGAAATTTCTCAGCATTCAAGAGGAAGCAGAGCAAAAAAGTTTGGAAAATTTGCAGCTTGGTGATGCATTACAAAAAAAAACCTCTCCATTTTCTGAAGAGAAATTCAAGCCAGCTGCAGAAATAGGCATAAATAACAAGGTGCCAAGTGTTAATCTCCAAGACAATGGAAGAAATGTCTCCAGGCCAATTCTGAGGTCTTCACAGCCACCCCATCCATCACAGGCCCAGGGACCTAAAAGGGAAAAATGGTTTCCTAGGCTGGGCCCAGGACCCCCCTGCTCTGTGCAGCCTCAGGACATGGTGCCCTACATCCCAGCTGCTTCACCTCCAGCTGTGGCTAAAAGGGGTCATTGCTTCAGAGGGTGCAAGCCCCAAGCCTTGGCAGCTTCCATGTGATGTTGAGCCTGGGTGCAGAGAAGTCAAGAATTGAGGTTTTGGGAACCTCTGCTGAGATTTCAGAGGATGTATGGAAATGCCTGGATGTCCAGGCAGAAGTTTACTGCAGGAGCAGAACCCTCATGGACAACCTCTGCTAGGGCAGTATGGAAGGGAAACATAGAGTTGGAGCCCCCCGACAGAGTCCCTACTGGGGCACTGCCTAGTGGAGCTGTAAGAAGAGGGACACCATCCTCCAGGCTCCAGAATGGTAGATCCACCAACAGCCTGTACCATGTGCCTAGAAAAGCTGCAGACACTCAATGCCAGCCCATGAAATCAGCCAGAAGGGGTCTCTACCCTGCAGAGCTACAGAGGTAGAGCTACCCAAGACCATAGGAGCATATATCTCTTACATCAGGATGACCTAGATGTGAGACATGGAGTCCAAGGAGATCAAATCTTTGAGAGTTTTGGAACTTTATGGTTTAATGACTGCCCTATTGGATTTTGAACTTGCATGAGGCCTGAGGCCTGTAGTTCCTATGTTTTGGCCAATTTCTCCCACTTAGAATGGATGTGTGTACCCAATGACTGTACTCCCATTGTATCTAGGAAACAACTAACTTGCTTTTAATTTTACAGGCTCATAGGTGGAAGGGACTTGCCTTGTCTCAGATTAGACTTTGGACTTGGACTTTTGGGTTAATACTGGAATGAGCTAAGACTTTAGGGGACTGTTGGAAAGGCATAATTGTGTTTTGAAAAGTGAGGGCATGAGATTTGGAAGGGGCCAGGAGTGGAATGATATGGTTTGGCAGTGTCCCCACCCAAATTTCCAATTGTAGCTCCCATAATCCCCACGTGTCCTTGGAGGGACACAGTGAGAGGCAATTGAATCATGGGGGTGTTTACCCCCATGCTGTTCTCATGATAGTGAATGAGTTATCACAAGATCTGATGGTTTTATAAGGTGCTTTTCCCCCTTTGCTCGGCACTTATCTCTCCTTCCACCACGTGAAGAAGGATGCGTTTTCTTCCCCTCTGCCATGATTGTTAAGTTTCCTGAGGCCTCCCCAGCCCATGTGAAACTGTGAGTTAAACTTCCTTACTTTATAAATTACTCACTCTCAGGTAGTTCTTTACAGAAGCGTGAGAATGGACTAATACATCGCCACTGCAGCCACATGTGTCCGAATCACCAGTCAGGGCACTCCAGGGTCAGCAGTCTAACAGAATGTGCCCATCTCTACAGCTCCAGCTTCAGTGAGGGCACCTTATACTAAGGAAAGGTGGTAACTTTAGGCAAGCCTTTTGACTCTATTTGCTTTTCATGAGTGCCTTCCCCTTATTGAAGATACTCTTTTCTCCTCTTTCCTCCATCAGTATCTATTTTCTCTCACCACATTCCGGTTTATTGGATGTCAGGGTTTGCCATGAGAATAAATGTTTCCTTCAACCAATTCTTACTGTTTTTCTCCCTTCCCTCTTATTTCTCCATCTTTCAAGCCGAATGCATTTTTGAAAAGATCTATCTGTCTCTCCACCTCAACATTTCCCAATCAAATATGCAAACAGGGAGTTTACGAGCAAGTACTCCATGCATCTGCCCAATTCCTACCCCACTGCACCAATCTCTAATTGCCCCTAAAGGCCCTGGCAGAATCAAGAAGCAATTTGTTTGCTGCTGAGGGAAACTAGTCAGAGGAAAGCTGGCTCCAGAGAACAATTCTGCTGAGAAAACCAGCACCACTCTTTTCTAGGCAGAAGCCTTGTGGCTCTTCCGATATCAACACTAAAGTACGCTATCTGTGATTTTCAAACTACATACAGGATAGTAAGACTGAGTTCCACAGAACTGTCTCAAGGGCCACTGAGGGAGGCAGAAGGAAGATTCTAGGACTTAATCAGTCAGATTAGCTCCATTTATGTCAGTTTTATGTAATGAGAGTCTGTGCAACCCTTTTTTTGTGAAACAAAGGGTTTCATCAAGAGAAAGAGTGAGGTGGGATGGGGAGAAAAAAGATTTGAAAATTCCTGATCCAGATAAAGCCTAAGTCAACACTTCTGTAATTTGTTAGTTTTCCAGAAACTCCTAAGGGAAGAGCTTTGACTTGGGAAAACTCACAGTGTTCATCCGGAGTGGTGACCTTCGTGAACGTAGCATTGGGGCCCTCACCAGCACTAGTGAATGGAGTGACGAAAAACTCATAGAAAGATTTCGGCTTTAGGTTGTCCACAATCAATGCCTTTTCTTCTGGGTTGTCAATTTTGTATTTGCAACATTCTGAACCATCTGTGATTTAAAAAAATTTTTTTCAAGGAAAACAAAATTTTATTAAAAGTGTGGTGAGTATCTTGTGACAGAGTTGGACACTAATACTCTTGTTAACTCAGCACCATCAACATGTTTATACCAAAAACAAAAATCAAAGCATAATTTCATCACCGTGGGTACACCGGGTAAAATGTTCAGGAGATGGCACAAAAAGCCATTGAACAATGGGTACTAATGATCCAGGCAGAGCATACAAATCTGTAAGAAATAATAAGAGCTTGCAAGGGGCTTAAAAGTAAACTGGAACAATGCTCAATAAAGTGGAAAAAAAAGTTCCATAAAGGGCAGGCTTTCTTTTCTTTTTTTTTTTTTTTTTTTTTTTGAGATGGATTTTCACTCTTGTCACCCAGGCTGGAGTGCAATGGTGCAACTGCAGCTCACCGCAACCTCCGCCTCTTTGGTTCAGGCAATTCTCCTGCCTCAGCCTCCTGAGTAGCTGGCATTACAGGCACGTGCTACCATGCCCAGCTAATTTTTTTGTATTTTCAGTAGAGACGGGGTTTCACCATGTTGACCAGGATGGCCTCGATTTCTTGACCTTGTGATCCACCCGCCTCAGCCTCCCAAAGTGCTGGGATTACAGGCGTGAGCCACTGTGCCCGGCCCAAGGGCAGGCTTTCTTAAGGCGCTGATGGTGCTTCAGATGCTTTTAAAACTACCAGATCACATTGTTTTTTAAGTAAGTTAAAATGCTGCCCACCCCCCCACCATCTCGTTCACCCTACTAATTTGCTTAAGAACACCTTTTCAGTATAAAGTCATGCAAGAAGAGAATTAAGCCTGGCCAGTCTGAGATGGCAGCCATTAGATGGCAGCCATTATTTTCAATGATTTCAAATAATGAGATCTTAATAAATTAATTAAAAATACATGTCACCTGAAAGAATTGCCTTTTCAAATCGTGGATGGCACTGTCTCGCCTTGGATTTCAGATAGACATGGTACCCTTGTATAAAACCAGGTTGAGATTCAGTAGAGTAATATTTCCAACTGAGAGTGAAGGAATGGGATGTCAACTTATCTACCAGCACATGAGGGTTGTCTGAAGGAGCTAGAAAAAGAAGTTGGGATAAGAGAAAAGTCATGATTTGGAAATAGTCTCAGAACATTCATGTCAACTAATAGAAGAACCACAGACAGCTCTGGAGGTTGTAAGAGCTTATGCTAAGTTAAGGAGTTTTATCTGTTTCTCTAGAGGATTTGTGCCTTGATAGTTTATGAGAGCTGTGAAGGAGTTGAGCAGTCTTGTTCAAGTCTTGCCATTTACAGATGAAGAATGGACACCCAGAGACTAAATAACTTGTACACGGTCACAAAGCCAAAAAAAAAAAAAAAAAAAAAGGAAGGAAGGAAGGGAGGGAGGGTGGGAGGGAGAGAGGGAAGGGAAGGGAAGGAAGGAAAGAAAGGGAAGGAAGGGATGGAGGGAGGGAAGGTTGTGGCAGTGCATAGTTATCCAAGTGTCACTGAAAAACAATCCAGGAATGTTTACTTTGAGGCTTTGCTGAGGCCATTTTCCTATCCACGCTATGCACACTTGGACTGTGCACACAAGGTCACATTCCTCCTGCCTGCTCTGACCCAACTATAAACTGTGGGTCAGCTCCTGCTAAAGGAAGAACCCCTGAGAACTAGTCTGATTTGTGTGATAGGGTATAAGAGACTGAAGAAAGGAAGAAAATGAGAGACTTAGCAATAAGAATTAATGAAAATGTTTTATGTTAGTATGATTAAAAGTAATTTAAAAAACCCAACTGCTAGAATAAATGGGACACCAAAAATTGGGTATGGTGCTGACATCTTCCTAAACCAAAAGCTAGGAATCTGTGAACTGTTCTGAACAAGTCTACACATGGGGCACATTAAATACTTTGAACTTACCAAGTTCCTGAGAGTATCCTGTTTTCTTCTCTAATAAACAAGCAATTCTTTTTGTAGATAACCCATAAATTCTGAAGTTGTATCGAACTCCTGGCCTAAACGCATCTAGGGAAAAAAAGTCAACAGATTTTTAATAACACAGGATGATGTTTCCTAATTCTGAAAAGAAAACAAGTGAAAAGGCGTGGCACTGTGGCTCACGCCTGTAATTCCACACTTTGGGAGGCAGGCTGATCACTTGAGGCCAGGAGTTGGAGACCAGCCTGGCCAATATGGTGAAACTCCGTCTCCACTAAAAATACAAAAATTAGCCGGGCTTAATGGTGGGCACCGGTAATTCCAGCTACTGGGGAGGCTGAGACAGGAGAATCACTTGAACCCAAGAGGCAGAGGTGCAGTGAGCTGAGATCAAGCCACTGCACTCCAGCCTGGGTAGCAGATCAACAGTCTGTCTCAAAAAAAAGAAAAAAGAAAAAGAAATTTCTGCTCCCCTAGTAATGGCCTTTCAGGAATTTTGCATTTCATCCCCATCATATTCCCTCCTTCCATGAAGCTTTGGAGTCCTCCATGTTGCAAACATCTGGCCCCACTGTCTTGTCTCCAGCAAAGCCTGCAGGGACTGGTCTCTGTAGCATCCTCTGAAGCAAGAGCTGTCAAACATGCCTGTATCCATGTGCATAGAACTGGGTGCAGAATCAGACCAGACACAGAAAACCATTCAAACCCTTCTTTGACTCCAAATCCCCTTCTAGTTCCTTGTCTTCCTTTTTCCCGTTAAAGCCAATAGTCTTGAAAGCTTTGCTTCCACTTCCTCATTTCCCTCTCACACCTTTACCTCTGCAAACTCCTTCCCGAACCCACCGTACCACTGAAATTGGTGGGGCCTTGATCATCCTCTGAAGAGGGACATTTCCCACACCTTTCCCTGAGCCCAGTAGATGGCGCCACCCACCCCTCCAGCTCAAGCCACACAAACCTGTGCTCCTCTGACTGCTAAACTAGCAATCTTCACATTACATATCCAACGTGGGAGGTAAGAGAACAAGTTCTCCATGTTCTATTGAAACTGAAGATCATGATTGACTCTCATAAACTCTATTTCTTAAACATCTTCCAAATCCATGCAAGTCTCTGCTTTTGTAAAAGCCTCTGGACAACTGTTATAATGTCCCTCTGCCATTGGTGACTAGGCACTAATTTAGAGAAACAAGCTTGTGAAAATCAATTCCCACCTCATGTTCAGATATTCTCCGCAAAAGTGGATTTAAAGGGCAAGTTTTAGAACATATTCTTGTAACATCTGAACTCCTAACACCCATGCTGGATTTGTTGTTTCAAAAGTATTAGCTTAGCATAGTCAAAGTCTGTGAAACAGTCCAGAGATCCCACTGGAACTTGCTTCACCGTGAATATAGTAATGTGATGATATTGAAGGTTCCTCTTACCTGTGCTAATGACTGTGCTTGTGGCATTGGGACCTACATTCTTCCACTGGAGATCACAGAGTGTATACTGGGGATGGTCACACCAGTCCACAACATAGCCTACAACATCTCCAGGTTGGGGTTTCCAAGACAGAGAGAATCCACCCTCTGTGTCTGCAATTCTTTCTTCCTCAACCTCTTCTGTATATAAAAAAAATAGAGCAATGATTCAGATTTAATTAACTGTAAATTGTTTTAAGTGTGTAAGTTAGAAAATAAATATATACATGCACTGTAATAGAGCAACGATCCAGATTTAGTTAACTGTAAATTGTTTTAAGTGTGTAAGGTAGAAAGTAAACATATACATGCACTGTATCTAGTACGTAACAGACCTCCATTTCAATAGTTACAGGTACTTGGGTGGGGGATGCTTCAATGGGTGAGTTCTGCCTCTTACTTCCCAGCAAATATTCACACCTGCCCTTCAGATGCTCATCATGTTGACCTTCTGAAGCCCAACCAACTTCAGCACCTAGGACAGGGGTCAGCAAACTACCACCAATAGGATGATTCCAGCCTCTGAGGGTTGTTTTCATATGACCTTTGAGCTGAGAATGGTTCTAAGACTTTTTAAGAGTTGCAAAAATACAAATAAACCAACAAGAATGTATATAATAGAATATGTGACGGTGACTGTATGGCCTGCAAAAAGGTTTGCTATCTGCCCCTTTACCACAAAATTTGTTGATCCTTGATCTACAATCTCGTATTAGGTACTGGATCAGCTTCAAAAAACACCTGTTGAATGAATAACTAATGCAGGTTAATTTTCCCACAATAGTATCAGTTGCGCCTGAAGTAGATACTGCTTATGAGGTGCTAGGGGTAGGAATTGAGTTGAAGAAAAGACAACATTCAGGTGTATAAACAGTTGGGTTATATGAGGATATGCACACAGTTTATGACTAATGCTGCCATCTTAACCTATTTTATAAGTTAAAGTAGGTTTCCTGATGTCTGACAACTGGAAAAAGGGTGACACAACCTCAGGGAACTCCTGAGTTCCAACAAAGGGATACCTTAACCTTGAGGCATGTGAATTTCTCCTCTTTCCACAGACTTACACTAAGAACTGATTTATTGTTTGTCTATAATTCATATTTAGCTGGGCATCCTGCATTCTATCTGGCAATCCTAATTACAACTGATTCATTTTTTAAAGGGCATCCAAATATCATCCAGCTGGGGGAACCCAAAGGAACGCGTAGCCCTAGGTAAAAGGTAAACGCCCAGGAGGGCATTACAGATCCCATCCACGTGACTTCCCTGCCTTCCTTCATCAAGCAGACAAATGCCCCTCACATATTAATGCTGACTTCACTTTACTTATTGATGCTGAGTAAAATTTAACTCCAAAACCAGGGTTAAAACTCTTAGAAATCTGCTTCTTTAAATTTGAAAATATGTTTTGAGAGATGGAGGTAAATGAAAGAGTAGGGAAATCTTTTTGTCAGTTATTCGCACCCTAGGGAAACATGTAGCGCTTAAGGATAGCTAGCTGGAGCCTCACAATGGAAGGTCTAGGCATCCGAAGGCATGGCATGAGGATGGAGGGTATGGTAGAAGACCCCAAAATACATAATTGCTCTCAGCAGTGTTGCTTTGGACTCGCCTGAGACCAGTTCAAAATCAACAGTACCAGCTCCCCCCAGCGCAATGAAATGTTCCATTTTCTTGTTCAGATCCTAATGAAGTCAGAATATAACTTCTTTAATACAGTTCTTCAGAAAGCAAAGGTTACACTAAACAACTCCTAAACCAACCCCTAGAGCTTTTCTTCTATGGCACAATATAATTTCTTTTCCTCATCTGATACATACTGGATAGTTCTTTTAAAAACATAAAAATAAAACTGGCTGGGCACAGTGGCTCACACTTTTAATCCCAGCACTTTGGGAGGCCAAGGTGGATGGACCCTCTGAGGTCAGGAGTTTGAGATCAGCCTGGCCATTATGGTGAAACCCAGTTTCTACTAAAAATGAAAAAAAAAAATTGCCAGGCGTTCTGGCAGGGGCCTGTAATTCTGGCTACTCGGGAGGCAGGGGCAGGAGAATTGCTTGAATCCGGGAGGTGGAGGTTGCAGTGAACCGAGACAGTGCCACTGCACTCTAGCCTGGTGTTTATTTATTTATTATTTATTTTCAAATAAATAAATAAATAAAACATCCTCTAATCCAATTCACTTAACCCAAATTTAAGCTGAACTTGAATAAATATGTACCACAGAACCTACCATAACCTCATAAGCAGGGTCTAGAAATTTTAATAGCAAGAACTGAAGGGTGATATTATTGCAAGGTTCGTGAAGGATCCCAGGATGCCACTTGCCAACTGCATTATGTATGCACATGTGTGTATCATCTCATAGCATGTAACTGTGAGGCTAACTCTTTTTATGGCTAAGAAGGAAATTAATACCACTATTGGTTTGGCATGGAAGGCCATTCCACCTTGTTTGCTCTTTCATAGGCAAGAGATTAGCTAGTAACTATCTTTTATTCTATAACGTTAGCTGAGCCCCTGGTGAAAGTTGATGCCAGTTCTGATCATCTCTGGAAATGTTCCTGGGCTCTTTCCAGGTACAAAGACTGAAAACACATTTTACAAAATAGTAAATGCAATCCATATTTCACAAGCCACAAAGCTCATGAATATTAACTCCCACTCTCAGTGGTGACTGTTTGTTGGGATGCGTTTACTTGAATAAACCTGAGATAATTTCCCCAAGTATGTTGAAGAATCCTCTAGACAGAAATGTCCTGAACCCTGGCTAAAGTCTCCTCCCCACACTGAAGGGACTCTCCCACTGAAACATGTTGACACACCTGGCCCAAAAGAAAATGACTGTTTGGTGACTAGACATTTTGTCTTCTTAAGTTATTGTCTTCTCAATTATCTATCACTACTTTATAACGTCGTCAGCATTTTCCTAGAGAATGAGAAAGAAAATGAACAAACTCACGGTTTTCAGGGTCTGCCGAGATAACTATTACGGAAGCAGGAGAGGTGCCCACACTGTTGCTGGCTGTGACCCAGATCCGGTAGGAACGCTGGTCGAGAGTTAGTTTTGTGCTTTTGGCCGGTGCAGGAACGGAGTGGAGCTCTGGCCTGGACGGTTTGTCTAGATTTTCCACAACTACACTGTAGAACAGGATCTTTCCTTTGGCATGCCATTTTGATAAAGGCTGAAAAATATTGATAAACATTTTAAAAATGGTTTTAATTGAAAGGAGTTTGTACAATTCTCTTTTCATCTTTTCTGTCCCTCAACTCCCTCACACACACACACACACACACACACACACACACACACCCCACCCACCCCAGCAAATTCAAACAGCTTAACAGAGAAAATAGCCTGAAATCAGACACTGGAATCTAACTGAAGGTGAGTAGAGAAGAGGATCATTTGGAGTTAAGAGCCTCAAGAGTGTTATCTGTCCTAAGAGTGCTCAGGTCGGGAATCACAAGGAGGAGACTCTTTAACATGGCAGAAAGAAAGATGTAAGGAGTAGCCAAGGGTAGAAAAGCAATGAGTACAAACGGTGCCACCCTGGGACCCTGAGGAGGAGTCTGGGTCCTGGCCTCACCCAACCTCCAGCTGTGCTGTCCCCGTCAGCTGTACAGGGATTAGCTGCTCTCCATACTCAGAGCCCTCCTCTGGATAACCCTCAGGTTGCAGAGAAATTCCTGCCCACACAGTGCCAAGCCCACTTTTAGGGTCTGTTCCTCAGGCCTCCCCTCTCCTGGCGTGTGTACCACCAGACCTCAGAGTGGGCGGGGAGTGGCTATCTGCTTGGGGTGTGGACAGAATCCGGACTTGCAGACTGGCATGTCCACATGTCTGTGCACAGAGATCCTTGCAGAGTGTGCCAAACTAAAGGTGGAAAAAAAGTGGGGTAGGCTGTGATCAGAGCTCACTCGCTCCCAGCATCACCATGTTTCCATGTGAAAATGATGCATCATAGAGTTCAGTATACAAACCTGGCCTTCCAGGTTGTCATGAAGGTATTTTAGGCAAGATAGAGGGATGAAATTTATTTGACATTACAATGTTTAAGCTTGATTTATAACTTTTAAATATAAATAGTATGAATGTTTAAATACGTGTAACTTTTTTTTTTTTTTGAGATGGAGTCTTTGTCACCCAGGCTGGAGTGCAGTGGCATGATCTTGGCTCACTGCAACCTCCGCTTCCCAGGTTCAATAGATTCTCCTGCTTCAGCCTCCCGAGTAGCTGGGATTATAGGCATGCACCACCACACCCAGCTATTTTTCATATTTTTAGTAGAGACAGGGTTTCACCATGTTGGTCAAGCTGGTCTTGATCTCCTGACCTCGTGATCCACCCACCTCAGCCTCCTAAAGTGCTGGGATTACAGGTGTGAGCACCATGCCCGGCCTTGAAATATGTGTAACTTTTAACTAGGAAATGTGGTTGTTCACTTACACCTTTGCCCTGGGTCCTGCAAAAATCAGGGCTGGCCTGAGTTGAAGTTGTAGAGAAGAATGTTCTACCAGTCAGAACTGGCAATCAGTGGCATTAGCTGTCAAAAAAGTGGAGTGGGAATCTTCTACTAGGTAAGAAATTCTATTGGATGAAAGTGAAGATGCCTTCCAGTTAAAACACTGAACCAAGCCACCGTTCTACAGAGGAAGACATATTTGTTTCCACAAATGTGACTTTTGGAATCTGCACATCCTACCTTCCAGAATAAGGTCACAATGTGACTTCCTGGCTCTGAGTTCACATTTCTCCAGACATCAGGGGCCTCTGAGGGAGCTGAAATTAACCAAAGAAAAGTTCCTGGGTCATCATATGTATGTAAAGCAATATGCTCAACCTTTTTCTAGGTTGGTCAGTTCAACCTGAGGCTTGCTTCTCCCCTTTTTGCTCTCTGTAACTTCTACCCGCTGGTCCACAGCCGCACTGCTCACTCCTCACTAGGTGCACACAGTATGGTGCTTTATAAAACGGCCAGCTGCCTCTGAAAGCCTTTATAAACATCAAGCCATAGAACTACCAAAGCATTTTGGAATATTTTGTCTGTTAGACCAATTTCAGATGAGTTAGGTAAATTTCCCCTTTGTTGACCTTGTAGCAAGACCCTTGCTACTTCCCTTCCCCATGTGTGATGGCCAGAGGCATGCTGACGGGGAGCCTGCTAGGGGCAGGATGCTTTCCTCCTCCTGTTCATGATATCCACGGCTGGCCCGCTCACTGGAGTCCTGGTCTCCCTCCACTGGGGAGGCTTCATCCCACTCCTCCTTGCAGCACCCTGCCGGTGCCTGGGTTATCTGCTTGCTGTGGACACTGAGGCACCTGCAGCACCCACAATTCCTTCTATGGTGGCTCTCACCATGCTGTTTTAGAATAGTGTGCTTCCTTGTCTCTCTGTAAATAAACCATAGATCCCTGGGGCCAAGGGCTTTGAAACTCTAGCATCTGGCTCAGGGTCTGGCACTTCATGAAAGCTCTATAAACTGTTTGAATGAATAATAAAAAACTTCAGAGGAACTCAAAAAACAACCTGCTTCAATGTCTTAGTCTTTTCTTGTCTCCAAATCTTTGAAAATTGATTGAATGATTCATTTTGCATCTAAATCTGCATTTGCTCAATCAACTTATCATAAGGAAAGGTCTTTAAATCCAAACCAACTCTGAGTGCCTATGTATAAAACTATTTAGGGGATCTCTTTCACACATAATAGTAGCTAATATTTATAGAGTGGTTACTAGATGCCAGCCCAGTCCCAAATGTTTTACATATGTTAACTCATTTAATCCTCATAACAATTCTGTGGGGCAGGTATGATTATACACCCCATTCTCTAGATAAGGAAACTAATACCCGGAAAGAGTAAGTTAATTTCTCAAATCACCCAGGTGAAATTGAAAGTGAAGCCAAGATTTGAACTCATGGTAGTTAGGGTCTGGTCATTCCATTATCATCTTTAGAAAATAGATGGTCAACTGAAGCCTAGGCTTGCATGCCAGTTCAACAAAATTCTCATTATAAAAAATCTCAGCAATGGAAAAATAATGAAATCAATGCAATTTATTTTAAAATCTTTAAAAGGTACACATTTTAGTCATTGATTAATAAAAATATTATGAAAGTCTTATTAAGATGAGTATGTTTTTTAGTTTGCAAATTGTTTTGTTGGATTTATGTAATACTCTGTATTCACACAGGATCAAATTTTCTACTGATAGAATTTTGTCATGGTATGACTTTCACAAGAATAGTACAACAAAAAGTAGTCAAAAGAATTTACAACATTCATAAGCCACAAGAAATAACAGGCTTTAACTGCTGAAAATATAGATGACCCAATTTATAACACATCCATGGAGACAAACAAGAAAGAGACTCATAAGTGTTAATATCATTCTGCAATTGAGCCATAGCAGCATATCTCATTTTTAAATCCAGACTTAATCCACCTTCATCTCTCCACTCACATTTTGTGAATGTGCTGCCTCAGCTTTCTGAATTTGAAAATACAACTATAGCATGTCTCATATGACTTCTATTTTTAACGTTTACTTTGAAACTTCCCTTTAATTCTTAAAGACAGCTTGAATATTTTAGCATAGCCCCTAACAAAAATAATTGAATTAAATTCAATTATCTAATTAAGAGAGCTAATAGCAATTACTACAACCTAAACAATTCTTGTGATAACAAAAATCAATTTAAATACAAGATGTGATATAGAGTTGTTAGTTTAATAATCTTATGGTTTAATAGTCCAGATTCCATTTTAGAGTAATGATATAAAACCCAAATTACTTATTAGTAGGCTTCTTAACTTTATATGAATTATTTTTCTTCCAACTCTTCCAACTTTGCTTCCAACTCTCAGTTTGCCAAATCACAAACTTGACTTTGATAAGAGAAAAACATGTTTTTGGAAGGTGCAAATCAGTATTTACTAAATGTTCACCAGTCTACTATCATTGATAGAGTTTACTATATTTCAAAATATATATCCCAGTGTTGTTGAATTTTTGACAAATTGTGATTTCATTAAATTAGAGTTTGGTTATTAAAACATAACTTCAAAATTCATCATCTGAGTGCCACTTTCATCTCCAGACATCTTTGTGCATGCCATTATGTTTCTGAAAGTAATTTAGCATAATTCCATATAACTAATTCATGTGAAAACATTGTCAAAACTTCATTATTCAGTAGTTAATAATCAAACTTCAGTGAATCATATCCCTATTACATTTTATTTTTCTTTGAAATACTTTAAAAAATACTTCCTAGAAACTCTCTTTTTTTATAATTTAAACTTTTATTTTAGAGTCAGGGAGTACATGTGCAGTTTTGTTACATGGGTATACTGTGCAATGCCGAGGTTTGGAATATGAATGATCCCACCACCCAAATAGTAAGCCCAAATAGAAGCCAACAGTCAGTTTTTCAACCCTTTCCCCCTCCCTTCCTTCCCCCTCTAGTAATCCCCAGTGTCTATTATTTCTATCTTTATTTTAATAAATACCCATTGTTTAGTTCCCACTTAAAAGTGAGAACATGTAGTATTGATTTTCTGTTCCTGCATTAATTCGCTTATGATAAGAGCCTCCAGCTGCATTCATGTTGCTGGGAAGAACATTATTTCATTATTTTTATGGCTGTGTAGTATTCCATGGTGTATATGCATCTTGTTTTCTTTATCCACTCCACCATTGATGGGCACCTAGGTAGATTCCATGTCTTTTCTATGGTGAATAGTGCTACGATGAACATAGGAGTGTAGGTATCTTTTTGGTATAATGATTTATTTTCTTTTGGATATATACCTAGTAATGGGATTGCTGGGTGGAATGGTAGCTCTGTTTTGAGAAATCTCCAAACTGCTTTTTATGAAGGCTGAATTAATTTATATTCCCCCCCCAACAGTGTGGAAGTGTTTCCTTTGCCCTGCAGCTTCCCCAGCATCTGTTGCTTTTTGACTTTTTAGTAATAGCCATTTGACTGGTGTCCTCATTAGAAAAAGCAGTAGGTGCACAGAGAAGCTCAAGAAAACATCCTGTGACCACAGACATAAAAGATGACCATCTACTAGCCAGAGAGAGTGGCCTCTGAGAAGTAACCTCGGCCAACAGCTTGATGTCAGATTCCTAGCCTCTAGAATGACGAGACACTAAATTTCTGTAAAGTCCTTCAGTATGTGTACTGTGTTATCAAAGCCCTAGAAAACTGTTACAACCTATTAATACACATGAAATATATTCCTGGCAGCATGGCTGAAATGAAAACAAAGTGTTATTATATCAGGCTCCACTTGCATTTGAGAGCTGAAGCACTGTGGAAAATGGCCTCCCTTATGAAATATTATGAAGACATGTGAAGAGGGCTCCCGCCCTGATGGGGCTACAAGGATGAGTTCTGTGAGAAGACACATTGCAAACAAATGCATACAGTAGCTTAACCTTCCCCGCTTTTGTGTAACACCTCCTTTTGTATAAAAACTTTCTTATAAGAATGTTGGCTATTAATGTTTAGAGAAGGTCTAGCAGGGCAGTGGAGCTGACTACTACTGAAGCTACCTGGGGTAGCTAAAGAACAAAAACAGTAACAACATGCAAAGGGTTTTTAAAAAGTAGCCTTTCTGATTGGTGTGAGATGATGTCTCATTGTGATTTGATTTGCATTTTGCTGATGATTGGTGAAGTTGTGTTTTCATGTTTTTTGGCTGCTTGAATGTCTTCAGAACTCTCTGTTCATGTCTTCTGCAGACTTTTTAATGGGGTTGGTTGCTTTTTGCTTGTTGAATTAAGTTCCTTATTGATTCTGGATATTAGATCTTTGTCAGCTGCATAGTTTAGAAATAGTTTCTCACATTCTGTAGGTTGTTGCTTACTCTTTTGATAGTTTCTTTTGTGGTTCAGTAGCTTGTTTAATTAGGTCCCACTTTTCAATTTTTGTTTTTGTTGCAGTTGCTTTTCAAGACTTAGTCATAAATTATTTCCCAAGGCTAAAGTACAGAATAGTGTTTCCTAGGTTTTCTTCTAGGATTCCTATGGTTTCAGGTCTTACATTTAAATCTTTAATTCATTTGAGTTAAGTTTTGGACATGGTGAAAGGGAGAAGCCTAGTTTAATTTGTCGACATATAACTAGCCAGCTAACCCTGCACCATCTATTGAATTAGGAGTCCTTTCCCCATTGCTTATTTTTTGCTGACTTTGTAGAAGATCAGATGGCTGTAGGTGTGTAGTTTTGTTTCTGGGTTCTCTATTCTGCTCCATTGGTCTATGTGACTGTTTTTGTACTGGTATTTTTGGTACTGGTACCATGATATTTCAGTTATTGTAACCCTGTAGTATAGTTTGAAGTTGAGTAACGTGCTGCCTATTCCTTTGCCTGTTTGCTTAGAAATGCTTTGGCTATAAAGGTTCTTTTTCGTTCTCAAATAAATTTTTAGAGTAATTTTTTTTTTCTATTTCTGTGAAAAATAACACTGATAGTTTGATAGAAATAGCATTCAATCTGTAGATGGCTTTCGGGAGTCTGGTCATTTTCATGATGTTGATTCTTCTAATCTAGGAGCATGGAATATTTTTCTATTTTTTGTCATCTATGATTTCTTTCAGCAGTGTTTTCTAGTTCTCCTTTTAGAGATCTTTCACCTCTTTGGTTAAATGTATTATACGTATTTGTGTGTGTGTTTTGAAAGCAGGATTGCGATCTTAACTTGGGTCTCAATCTTATTGGTGTATAGAAATACTACTGATTTTTGTACACTGATCTTGTATCCTGAAACT